GCTCCGATTCTGACCGCGGTATGCTGAGCGTGGCGGCGACGTGGCCCCAGCCACACCGCTGTCCACTGTATTTGGATGAAGAGAGGCTGACAGACATGTTCTCCTGTGACTCACATGTCCCTTTGGGAGGGGGAGGGAACATAGGTCAAGTTCAGGCAGCTTCTTGGAAGGACGAGGGCAGTGCTGTGAGGCTGCCGGGGCAGTCTGGGAGGTCTTTGGTGGGGACCGGAGGCAGCAGGCCCGCATGGGGAGTGCCGGGCGCCTGAGCTGAGCGCCCAGGCGTTCCCGCCATGAAGCTGCGGTCTCCTGTTTGGATTGGCAGGATGGCCAAACTCAGCCCCCACAAGAAGTTCAAGGTTGGGATATTGGTAAACTTTTCGTGGCCTAAGCCCACGTCCAGGTCAGGATTTTAAGTCGCTCAGACCAGAGGCCTGAAGACAGTAAGCTCCTCCGGGGGCAGGTGACACGCTCCAGACAGCGTCCCGGGGCGCTCACGTAGGACGTGTTTGGATATTCGCCCCGCCAGAGCCCTCAGGGCGTCTCGGCCTGTGCGCGCCTTGCAGAGCCCTGGAGTCAGCGAGGCGGGTGACACCACGCTCAGCGTGCCCGTCTGTGCTCACTGCCGGCTCTGTGAGCGCTGTGCTTTATTTAGAAGTGTTCTTGGGTGGCAACGAAACATGCAACAAGGCGCAGAAAACAAAGGTCGTAAATGTGAGATTCACACGTCATCTCGGTCAGTCTCAGTAGCACACATTCCATTTTCTTCCAAAACACAGTGTTCTGTTCTGCAGACACGAGTGTGCGGAGGGGGGGAGGTGAGAGGGAGAACGGGAAGCAAGGCGGAGGTCCGGTTCTGGTGCTCAGACTCGGAGCCTGTGGACGCTGGGGGAACACTTACTGAGTAGATGGGTGGGTGGCTGGGTGGCTGGATGGATGTGATGGGCAGGTGGATGGATGTTTGGATGGATGGGCATATAGGTGGGTGGATGAAGGTGAGTGATGGGTGGATGGGTGGGTGGTGGGTAGAGGGTAGGACTTGTGTCCGAGGCTGTGAACTCTTAACAGCCTCCCCCTCCGACTGGCACAGGCAGTGCAGCCCACCCTCCCAGTCAGGCCCTCATGCATCTTCCCTAATTAACTCTCTTCCAGGGTTCCATCGGCTTTCCTGGATTTCCTGGCGCCAATGGAGAGAAGGGCGGCAGGGTAAGGACGGCCTGGGCTCCGCTCGGCGGCGTCTTCTGCCGCCTCGGTACTTAGCGGGTCTCTTGCCAATACATCGTGTTTATTTCTCGCCCACTTTGCTCCCAAAACTGCTTCCGGAGCGGCTGACCTTAAGCCTTTAGCACCGAGCAGTGGTCACTCTGGGCGCACTGAGCTGGGGGGCAGAAGCCAGAGAGGACGCCGGGCTTTCGCACACCCACCGCGAGCCCAGCGGCTCCTCCAGGTCGTTCGCGAGACCCAGACTCTCCTCTTTCTGCCCAAGTGACTTTTCCTCTAGGCGGGTTTTAAAGGAAGGAGGAAAAGGAGTTTCACCCTGTGTCTCACGGACCAAACTCAAGACGTATCGCTGGTCCGAACTCAAGACGCTCCCCGTCGTCCTGGGGCACCTGCCAGGTGCACACGCTTTGCCTCTAACCAGTGTTGTCGTCGTGAATAAAGCTGATCTGAGGACCAGGCTGGGGGACCCGTGCCCCCCACCCCTTCTGAGTCCCTGCCAGCCCAGGCCTTGCCGCGGGAGCCTCGCTGGACGCTGCTGAGGGAAATCACGGGAGGCTGTCCGAGCGCTGCCGCTCGGTAAACAGGATGGAAAGGGTCACCTTGGGCCTCTGGGCTCTGAGCCGACCTCGTCCACCGGCGTGTCTGCAGTGGGACCCTGGACCGCGGGAGAACTGTGGCTCCTGCACGTGCCCGGTCCGTTCCCCTCGGCCCCGAGCTGGCTGTCCCAGCACGGACGGCGGGCCGCGCCTCCTCAGGGCGCCCACTCCAAAATGATGTTACCATGGCTAAGCCGAGACAGCGCGGTGTCTTGAAAACAGGGAGGAAGACTCCAGGCCATCCAGAAATCTCCGTAAACAAGCGTGCCTGCCAGAGTCGGACGAGAGAAGGGTGGGGACTTCTCTGAGTGCAGGTCGCCTGCGTGAACACAGGGAGACCAGTGTGTGTGTACCTGTACCTGTATCTGGACGTGTCTGCATGCGATTACTCACGCCTGTGTCGTCTGTGTCATGCCTGTGTCAGTACTGGTGTCCTCCTCCGCCTGTCTGTCCTCTACCGCCCACCTGTCTGTCTGCTCTCTCTGTATCTGTACCTGTCCCCGTGTCTGCCTGTCCGTCCGACCAGACATCTGTCTGTCTGTCTGGTTCCTCCTTGCAGGGACAGTCTGACTGGTGCTTTGGGGAAAGGCTGCCACTCGTGAGAAGGGGTCCAGGGTCTGGTACACGTGGAAATGCAGGGAAACAGGGCGGACACCCCTGTGCTGGTGGGGAGCCCAGGGCCTTCCACACCGCGTTGCCGTGGTCGTGATGGTCAACAGGGGGTCATGGGACATGGCCACAGCCCCTTTCCCCTGAGGAGCTGGCCCCGGACAGAGGCCATCAGGGTCTTGCGGAGCAGCGGAGGCCTGGCTGTGGCCTGGGGGGCCAGCACCCTGGTCCCAGCTCTGCTCCCCTCTCCTGCCCTCCTGCGTCTCAGCCTCCCTGCCCCCGAGCTGAGCAGTTGGACAGGTGCCTGGGGGCCCTGCCCCCACGGGCCACTGCTCCAGCGTCAGCGCTGTGGGTCACCAGGGGCACCGCCGAGAACGGGTGGCTGGAAAGCAGGAGGGCCTGGAACCAGGAGGCTCGCCCTGCCCTGCAGTCCCCAGGGACGTTGGTCCCAGGGACGTGGTTAAGTCTGGACACGCCCAGGAAACGTCTGCTTTGGGATTTGCAGAGATTTTTGAGCTGCACGTGGCCGTGTCATGGATGCAGTGGCCACGACAGTGGGTATGGCCGCTGGCGTTTAGCGGGAAGAGAGATGGCAAAACTCGCCCACTCTCGGAGAAGGGAGTGGTGGGCGGTGGCCCATGTGACCACAGTGCTGTCCACTCCTTGTGGGAGAAACGCCTGGGGCGCCTTGCAGGTGCTGGGGGCGCAGAAGCCGGCGGAGGACGGGGAACCCAGGGAGCAGTGGCTGGTCTGGTCCCTGGGGGGGTCCGAGGTCACCCGCTCACAGCGAGCAAGTTAGAGCTGCAGCTTTACGTGCATGTGCTGACAGACGGACGAGACCCCAGGCTGAGACCCTGACCCACCCATTACTTGGCTGAGGGCTCCCCACATCCCTGCACCCAGCAGGGGACCCTGGAGGTCCAAGCTCAGCACCTGCGGCACGTCTGCCCGCCCTCCCCTCCCGAGCGGCAGGCACCTTTATTCTGGAACCCTCCCCACGGAGGGAAGGAGGAGGTCAGCTCAGCCTTCCTGTCCTGGACCCCAGATCCCCCCTGAGTTCTCTGCAGACGCCTCCCCTCCAGGCTGTCTGCTCAGGAGCAGCTCGCGTCTGGGCTCGGAGGCCCGAGTGGGCGAGGACCCTGAGGAATTGGGGGCTGTGTCCTGGGACGGTGACCCCGCAGTCCTGCCTGCCCGGTGGTTTTGAACTTCGGCGTCGACGCCGGCCCTGCTCTCTCGTCCTTGGCAAACCGACTTGTAGGCTCATTCATGTCACTGTCCTTCTGTTCATTCAAGCACGTTCATCTCACACCTGCTCGGCACCCACTCCGGAGGCTCTGCTAGCCCTAGGGACGTTCAGGGGAAGCCCAGCCCCGCCTCGGGGCTCACCTTGCAGGCACAGAGGTGGCAGGGGGACACGGCAGAAAGTGAAGCCGTGTTGAAGTGGGCGGCGGTGTGGGCAGGACGGGCAGGGAGGGGTTCACAGGAAGGCTGGCTTTAGGAAAGGGTCAGGGCCGGCCTGGAGGAGGAGGCCTGGGAGGGGCAGGGGTGGAGGGCAGCACCCCGGTGTGGAGGTGGAGGCAGTGGAGGGGCCGTGTCCCCCGGATTCACAGCATCCCTGGGGAGCACCTGACCAAAGGTGCCGGCCATGTTTGAAGCCTCAGCTGAGAATGCCGAATGGGACCTGCTGCTGTTTGGATGGCAACGTGGGAACGGCGAGGCAGGTGGTGAGACGAGACACAGGAGTTCTGGGCCCCGGGGCTGGGGATCCCCGATCCTGCTCCACTGACTGGGATCAGGAAGGCTCAGGGGCTGACCACTGAGGGGCCCAGAGCGTGGAGGTCAGACTCCAGCCTCCCGTGCGTGGGGGCCCCGCATCCCCATCTTCAGGGGACTCTTGGACAAAGGCTGGAGGCGAAGAACAGAAGCGAAGTCCAGTCAAGACCAGCCGGGCCCCCTGCCCAGCTCCCCTGGGAGCCCCTCGCCCCCGCTGGCACCATCAGGGAAGCCAGTCGCCTCTGCTTTGTGATCTGCCCGGCGCGGTCGCTCTTCCGCCCCAGCGCTCGGAGGAGCCCCCCAGGGGTGCGCTGGCATGGCCTTCCCCACCTCCCCTTGGCTTTGGGCTTCAGAGGGACTGGGGTCGTTTGGAGAGAGCGCACTCACTTCTACAGCAAGTGCCCCTAAAGCCCGCGTGATGCCCCGTCCCCGGGGACCCTGCCGCCCGGAGAGGGCGCCCCGCGGCAGCACTCACAGCGGAGGAGGAAGGACGGGAGCATCTCACTGGAGCCAGAGCCGAACCTGGCAGTCAGGGGAGGCCTCCTGGGGGCGGTCACAGTCCTGTCACGTGAGCAAAGTGATGCTCCGTCACTGTCACTGGCCTGCACCACAGGCCAAGGTGGGGTCCCGGCCAGCTCTGCCCAGGAAGAGCCAGCCCCGTAGAAACACCACTGGCAACCGGAGGCCCCTCCCGCCAGCGCTGGGCCCCTCGGCCCGAGAGCGAGGCCAGCGCTGAGGCGGCCGGGCACCCCCGAGGGGCTGCGAGGACAGGCACTCACAGGGGACTCGCTGAGCAGGCTGTGGAGGGGCGTCTTCTGCTCAACAGCATCAAGTCACCACGACGCGAAACTCGGCTCGTTTACAAGGAACGGGACCACAAGGCGCCCCCTGGGGGCCAGACGGAGCCGGGGGCCGAGGCGCTCGTTCACCCCCCGGCGGCGCCAGCGCACAGCTAGTTGAGGTCGGAGCCAAGAGCGCTCTGGCTGCGGGAGCAGAGCCGCGACCCAGGTCATGGCGTGTGACGGGGGCTGGGCGTGAGGCAGAGGGCCAGCTGGGCCGTCCGCAAGCACCGGCAGCTCACCCGGGTGGCCTGGTGTCTGCACTGCTGAAAGCTTGTCATCTGAAGAAAGCAGATGTTTCATTAATTTTTGTATGCAAATATTTATTCGAGGCCAAAAGATATTGCCACGTAATTAAAGCAGGGAGACTGGAGTGCATTGTTAATGTGAGTGCAGCGTAATTACCTCGTCATCATAAACGGTTTTATTAAATCCGTTTCAAAATGGATGACTCTTGAAAGCAGCTTTGATTTTGGCGGCCAGTGAATGAAAGATGGTGAGAGGAAATGTGTCAGGTGGCCTCCGTCACCACAGATCCATCTCGGGCTTTATCGTTAGAAACCAGGAGAAAAAAAAAATTCCGGGAAATGAATTGAGACGTGGTGGAGATGGAGCAGCCGTGCTCCATCCACGACTCCTGTCCTGTGTGCTGCAGGTGAACTGCGTTTACCAGCTATTATATCTCTGCTTTGGAAAAAAAAAATGTTTTCCATGGTTTGGAAAATGCAAAACAACAACAGGAAACAAAGAGTCTAAACTCTATTAGAAGGGAAGCAAATGAGTCTGGGACGTATGATTTATGTATTAAATTGCACGTTTGCTTGTCTGCGCGGCCCTGTTGAAAATTTAATGGCTAATATCCGTAACTGTAGCAGAAGTAAATTATGCATGAAAGGGGTTGCTTTTCTTCTCTTTTCTGGCAGTAATGGTTCCCTCCACCCACCCCCCCGCCCCCTGCTGAGAGCGTGGGGAGAGAGGCGAAGATGGGGGAGGAGGGCGGGGTGCTTTTAGGAAAGGAAACCAGATAAGGGTGGTGAACATCTGTCAGGCAGCAGAGAGAAAACTGGATTTCGACAGGCCTTGCCCAGAAACAGAGCTGTGTGGGTTGGGTGTGTGTGCAGTGTGTGCCTTCACCCTGAAAAAGTCTCCCGTGAAAACGAAGATAAGGAGGGTGGTGCTTCCTGGCTCTGACTTCCAGCTGTCTCTGTCGCCCGGGAGAGGGGCCGCCACCCAGGCAGTGACACGTGTGTCTGGCGTGGCTGACCAACACCCTCCTTCTCTGATTTCAGGGCACACCTGGGAAGCCGGGACCACGGGGACAGCGAGGCCCAACGGTAACCCTGGGCCCTAGGACCACCTTCCGGGATGGAGCGCGTCCCGGGGGCGGTGTCGGGTGGGACGGGGGCAGGAGGCATCCAGGACTCTGAGGATCTGTGCTGACCTGTCTTCTCCCCCACTTGTGCAGGGCCCACGAGGGGAAAGAGGCCCCCGCGGCATCACTGGGAAGCCTGGCCCCAAGGTGCGTGCTCAGGGCCCCCTGCGGAACCAGCGTGAACCAGTCACACCCGGCGCCTGCGGGTGTCCGTGGCCTTTTCCGCTAGAACAAAAAAGAA